AAGCGTGTATCTTTCGTTCGTAAGCGTTTGTTGACATTTTGATAGCACAATTTGAAACCGCTTTTATTTGTTCAAGACGCGTAATAAAATACTGTTGTTTACATTTTTCAGTTAGTAAAATATGACGCAAATTGAGCTAGAATTGACAAAGTTTAATTAAGGGTTAATTTTTCTGCCAATAAGTCAAGTATAACCAAAATGACAAGAGTCGATTTGACAGATTTATTAATCTTTCTCGGATATGCACAGAGCACTCTGCTTAGCAGTAAACTGCATGTTTGGATCTGACTCACCGACAATGAAGGGTGACTATCTCTGTTTACGTGTCTAGACGAATTATAAGCTGTCGTTGCTTCTGCTCTACAGTCGGTTCGCTCCATGCATATCAACTCTCTCTATAGTCCATTTTATTTTGTCAGTCCATTTGTGGTAACTATAGAGAATGGCTAGGGCCATGGATTAGATACAGTGAATATAATATATTGGAGAGGGTGAACGATATAGTGAGATGGCATGATGATGTTATGATATGATAATATGGTGGTATGATGGTGGTATACTGGTTTGTTACTCGTTCTGACGAGTGTCATTTCAACATTTGTTTATTCATTTATCATTAATCCCAACTCATTTACACCTGTTTCCAATGCAGAATCAATAACTCTGCGTCTGATAAGAATGTATGTTGTAGTTAGTCGAAAAATCGCAAATCCATCAGTTTATTAAGAGCCTTCTAAGTTTATTTATGCGATTAGTAATATATGAAAAAACGTAAAACAGATAATCCTGTTACAGGTATACATGTAAGTCTAAAAGCCTAAAAGCGTTTAAGTATATTAATCTCTATAATAATCGACTAATTGAAATGGATTTAAATTGGCTAATTTATGGACCTTACACTCCCGAAAAAATGGCATGAATATTACGAAAGCGTATTGGAGAAACTCCTAGTGGAAAGAACGAATTTGGGCTCGTTTAATGTATTTTGGAGAAAATAATCTTTTACCTATTGAGAGGAAAAGTACTTTAGGGCAAGAACATTGGTACGATTCCAGATGGTACGATAGGAATAGCCACCTTTAGTATATACCGGGAAATATATTAAAATTATGGAGAAAATTCATATATCATGGTTTAATTGCCAAGCAATTAGCTGAATACCATAAGCACAAAAGAAAAAGTAATACTTCGAATCTGCTCAATACTTTTTGGTAGTTCTTCTGTGAAACAGGAAATATCTAGGCATTCCTGCGTAAGCGGAAAGAATACTTACTTTTAATTTATTTATTTAATTCTAATACTAAGGGGTGTGTCCCAATCCTCTTTTGCTCTATTCAAGTCACTCAACAACGTTTCTTTGTAACTTATTTCTTTTGATTAGCATTCAGATGATAGGGATGTTAAAACTTGATCTTATGAATTAACTTGGTTATTTCCCTGTTTGTGTAAACTCATACTTACTGGGAATTTGACTCTTTCCTTGCAAGGTGCTGAAGATAACCATATGCTCTTAAGACAGTAAGTGTTTTAGACTCCTTATTAATAACTGTGGAGATATAGAGATCCTGTGTATTCCCAGGCCTACGCAGAAACCAATATTGTTCATACGTTGTTAATATTCCTTAATGAGAGCCATTTTTTGCAATTGTCAACCAGATGATGATTTTCATTCAACACCCATTGTGTCTTGGCTTCAATATCAAAAGAGAAACTGGATCTGAATCTTGAATCTGAATCAAGTGAATAGCAACCAAAGTCTGGATCACCTTCAGCAACATCCTTATGGATATCATCATAACTCTCCTTTGGCACGCTAATGGTGTTTATATTCTTAAAAACATTGCGTTGCCAATGGTAAATGTTTCCTTCGCGGGGCGGCTGCGCTCCCTCACAGCGACAGTAGGGCCCTGTTTAGTGATGAGGCCACCGACTTAGCTAACTTTATTATAATATCTCCAAGAATGGACATTATTACCAATTATTTCTTAGCGAATAATTTCCTTTTTGCTAGGCGAATAATTTCACTATTGCTAGACGAATGATTTTACGTTGACTATTATTTTTCATGATTCGTGTTTCGTAATACACTTGCAGACTTACATTCGCGTCTCGAATATATCTTAGGCAATAGACATATCCTCTATCGGCCTTTTATACTACCACAATCAAATAAGAATTACAACATTTCAAATCCAATCGCTACTCTTAATATTAATGGCCTATTAATTTCGTTAATATATTAATAACATCGCTGTTTCATTATACAGACGAACAAATAATATGTCAGGTTCAACAGATGTTCCTGGTAAAACGTAGCGGACGAATAAATGCCGCTCATATATAAAATATCTAATACCCGTTATATATTATATCGTAGATATTATCTCATTCATGAAGGTTGGTTTCAGCTTTAACATTAATATTTCTCTTTCCACTGTCATCAAGAGTATCCGCATTTCGCTTCGTGTCTCTATCACACTCTATGGCTCCAATACTCTACTAACATTTTGGCATAGGTTCCCTCATTGGCGAAATGATATTTTAAACTTGGACAAAATAACGATAAATTCACAATAACGATAAATGGACAATAACGATAAATTCACAATAACGATAGATTCACAATAACGATAGATTCACAATAACGATAGATTCACAATAACGATAGATTCACAATAACTTTTTGTTGTGTATTAAGAGTATCAACCTTCTAACGAATACGTTAAATTCTCGGTGTTATACATCGTCTTTATTATTACGAACGCCTTTTTGTATTAAACATAAGGTCTTATAATCGTAATTTTTCTAAACTGAGCACTTCCCACGCTTCCCTAAGATGTTACATCAAGAGGATAATTATCAGCAGAATTCTATTGATCGTTGCGAAGAACTTTTATGCAAAGTGTCAATTCAGGGAATAATATAATAACCGAATACTTATTAATCGCCATGATTTTATACGAAATAGTTGTTCCGCAACATGCTTATTAGTCACTAGGGAATTCTTACATCAAAGTATCGGTATCGAAATAAAGAACAATAATACAACAATAATACAACAATAATACAACAATAATACAACAATAATACAACAATAATACAACAATAATACAACAACATTTACAATAATAAATAACGAACATCAATATTTTATTATTACAAGAGATGAAGCCACCCCAGGGAAGTGGTTCCACTTCAGTTTTACCTTCAGCAGTAACCAACTTACTTTTTCCGCCTGGGGGAAAGGTCGTTTATATAATGATAGTTCGCAAGCAGACGGGAAATCGAATACTAAGTGATGAATTCGATAAAATTCACTATTTATGATCGAGTAATCGATATCTGTTTCCCGTTTATTGGCGACTCTGCAATCGTCGATGGTGATGTTGGTGATGATACGGGTGAGGCGGGTGAGGCGGGTGATGCGGGTGATGCGACTCGTCTATCATGCTTCCGCTTCTACAGCTTGAAATACAATTAAAGTAACGATTTTGATAAGCCTGGATACAGGGTGTGTATTTGTCCGTTCCAGAGTCTTGCTCATTTACAGCGATCTGTGCGCCAGCACCAGTTTTGTGGCTCGGCAATTAGCCTTGAATGGCTGGCTGAAGAGTAGGTCACCGGTCCCTTTTTATAGCTATCAAGAAGCAGAAGCAATGATCTCCGCTCGACTGACCCAGAGCATAACATTCCATGCCATGTTTCTTTTGCAACTACTCGAAGAACAACTTATCAATATACAGGTTCTTCAATATGTGAGATAAAAGCGACGCAAATACAAACCTCTTGTCGCGGAATTGGCGGCCTAAAATCTTCTAAAACATTGATTCAGAAAGTTGATGATACTCCAAGTAGTTGTTCACCAAGCCGTTTACACAGATCGCTATCTGCTGCCAATATAGCTTGCACCTTCCTCGCCTCATTAATGTAACCGTTCCTTCAGTACTTCCCAAGAGTTTCTGCCAAATAACCCATGACTCAAAGGAAAAGATTTGTGTGCTGGGATCTCGGCTGAAATACAGGCACATGTTAACTGCAGCTTTTGATAATAATAACACTCGAGAAACTGAAAAGCGAACAAAAGATGAGCGATTTGCGATCACGTGTTATAAATTGATTTCGTAATGTGGCGCAGCGACGCGTACTTATTGCTGCCTATAATTTGTGCTGTCTAGGAGTTACTGACTATGACTGTTCTGAGGCACAGATAATTAGTAGGAACTATAATAGATGCTACATTGATGCAAAGCGTCCATTCGAAAACTGTATAATCCGCCATACCATCTTTATGTCACGTTTCAGTTTAACTAACCAGGTCTCTTATGTTGTTATTCTAATCCGTTTGCAGATTTTCAGTCATAATTATTTAATATAAATAGCAATTAATAGAGTCTTTTGGTATGAATAACGGTTTACTGGTAATGGCTAATATATCTTGACGGAAGGTGACCAACGCGGCGTCAAGTAAGTTAAGCTGAGATGCTGGAGGATTACTTCCCCTCGTTCTACAATGAGAAAATACGCATATGGTTAATTGTTAGACATTCACTCGTTGTATAGTAGTCATGATACTCATTTGAGTATCCTAGTCTACGGGCAAAGCATGTTTCTCCATAAAAAAAGATACCAATACTATTAATGAGCGAAGCTACTAAACACAAGAGTATTAATGCACGGAATACATTCATTTTCTTACATTGTCGACTATATTTGGTGCTTAGAAACTATGTAAACAAGTCTATCTAAGAGCATGTACACAAATGGTAATGTCACACTGGAATTCTCGATTTTTCGATTCAAAAAAAATTTTTTTTTTTGATGGATCAGGACACGTGAGTGTCCCGAAAACAAAAGTTGCAAATTTAAAAAAAATTTTCTGGTATCTTTTCGAGTGTGTTCGATCAAATTCTCACGAATATAGGAACGAGGTATGACACTTTTCTTCTCTAACCTGGTTTTTTTTTGCGTCAAAGCTATATAATGCTTACCCTATCTCAGCAATGACTAAGAAAACCGATTCCGCAACGGAAAGCCCTAAGAAAACGAAGCAAAAGGATGAAAAACGCAAATCAAAGAAAGACAAGGGCTCAGGAAACACTGAGAAGAGAGTCAAAAAGAAAAAATTGGAAGTTATAGAAGAGGTGGCGAAAACGACAGACGCTGGAGAAGCGGAACCAATAACTGATCTGGAGAAACCGAAGAAGAGCAAGAGATCGGGAGATTCCGAGAAAAGAAGTAAAAAGAAAAAAACAGAAAACGTTGAAAATATGGAAGGGTTGCAACAAACAACAGAATCGTCGCCAGTTGCTGAATTAGAGGAAACAGAAGAGAAGGATACGTCATCAGGAAATATCGAAGAGATTGAAGAGGTGCAGCAAGCAGAAGATGATAAATCGGAATCAATAAGTAAGAAGAGAAAAGCAGCAGATAACAAGGAGGTTAAGAAGAAGAAGAGGAAGCAGAAAAAGGAAGAGGGTACCGAATCAAAAGCTGAAAAGAAAAAGAAGGAGAAAAGTACAAAGAAGGGGGAATCTAAAAAAAAGAACAAACAAGAGGTTTCCGAAGATATAAATGATGAATTAAAAGCAGATGCATCTAATGAGTCAAAGAAAACTAAGAAAATGAAGACTGAAGAGAGTGGTAATAAGCCCAAGAAATCAAAGGCCTCTGAAAAACATCAAGATGCTGAAACTTCGCCCACAAAGTCTAACAAGCGAAAACGTGAAGACCCTTCAGAAATTGATATATCCGATTCTGAAGTCAATTCTGAGGAAGAAGTCACAAACGGAGTCGCTGAAATTGACAACTCTAATACTAATGGAAATGTAGAAACTGAGGAAGTCGAAAATCACACTGATAGTGAAGACACTGATAGTGAAGACGCTGAAAGCAAGAAGATCGAGAGTCACTCTACAAACGGTAGTCCAGCAAAAGCTTTTATTAAAACAGAAATGTCTGATGATCAACATGGAATTTGGGTTGGAAACCTAAATTACCAAACTTCTGAAGAAAGCCTGAGAGGTTTTCTTGAAGAGTGTGGAGAAATTACACGAGTAAAGATACCAAAAAACTTGGATCAGACGCATAAAGGGTTAGCCAACATTTACTTATTCTATTATCTGTTAACTTGTTTCTCCTAGTAAACTGCTAGAGATTTTTTCAGTTAATTGGCAGTAAATTTAGTAACAAAATACATTCTTACAATAGCTTTGCCTACGTGGACTTTTCATCAGCAGATGCTGTTAAAGCCGCAGTGGCGCTTAGCGAGGGAGTGCTTGAAGGACGGAGCCTGCTGATTAAAGATGTCAATGATCGGAGCGATAACACAAACAATGCTGACAAGAGCGCAATGCTGTTTGTTGGGAATCTTCCGTGGGAGACTGAAGAAGCAGATCTTCGAACCCATTTTGGAGATTGTGGAGAAATTGTCAGTATTCACATGCCGGTGTTTGCTGATTCTGGAAAATTCAGGGGGTAAAAATTGGATACACTTCTAATATTGATGTTATCTTTGCCTGCCGTGCTTATGTTATTGACCATTATTATCTTTGTAGTTTTGCACGTATTAAATTTGCGGACGCGTCTGCTGTTGATAATGCTTTATCGGATTCCAACAAGGAGTACTTTCATGATCGGTTGTTACGATTAGATCGCGTATACGCTAATAATAATAATAATCATAATCATAATGGGGATACCGGATATAAGAAACAATTATCCGAATCCAGTTCTACTCTCTTTGTGGGTAATTTACCATTTAGCACGTCCGAAGACGATTTATATACTTTCTTTGGAGAATCCGAGACCGTCGTAGGAGTACGTCTTCCAACATTCGAAGATTCTGGGAAGGTTAAAGGGTATGAAGACTTTACATAAAGAGTATCATCCTTTGCCATATAATAAATTTGTGTTTTATGCCTTACAACTTCCTTCTTCCCAATCATTACGATTATACAGATTTGCTTACATCGACTTTGAAGACATAGCAGCGGCCGAAAGAGTGCTTAACGATACTTCTAAGCACACGCTCAACAACCGGCAATTAAAAATGGATTACAGTCCTTCGGGGTCAAAGAACAGCCATAGGGGTGGAAATAATTACGATGGCTACCGATCAACTCCGCGTAAACGTTCTCAATACGGCAGCACCTTTGGAGGCAGTCGTGGGGGCGGTTATGGGGGCGGTCGTGGGGACAGTCGTGGGGGCGGTCGTGGAGGCGGTCGTGGAGGCGGTCGTGGAGGTGGTCGTGGAGGTGGTCGTGGAGGCAACTATGGGGGCAGCTACGGTCAACCTTCGTTTGGCAGAGGTGCTGGCGGTAGTCCGCGTGGCGCTGCTAGAGGTGTAAATGCGATTGCCCCACGTGCTAAGGGCATGATTGCGGAGTTTCAGGGAACTCGAATGAAGTTCGACTAGTGGTAAGACATGAAAGATTAATTTTTTTCCCGTCAAGGAGAAAAGTGCAAACCCGCACCGAGTCTGAAATAATAAAGCTTTTAAGACGATTGATTAACTTAATCTAAAATGTTCGTTCTCAAGCACTAGATCATGACAAACCCAATATGGCATTGCCGTGGCGTTTTTTTATTCTCAGCTATTGTAAATAAATAAACGATAAATAAATATAATTATTAAGATAATGTTAAGAATATTAATTTATGTCAGTTGCGGCACTATCCAAAACTGCCGCCCGCCCCAACTCTATTTAATGCTTATGGAAACAATTATTACAACTTCCTTTTTTAAATACATTTGCAGCATAATCGTCGCATCCACATTCCTGACATGGCCCAACATTGCTACTACCGTGATCATTAGAAAAGTCAGGTAAATATGAAGTACGTTGTGCACTACTTGTAGAACTCGCGGACGAACCCCGCGTCATTACAGGTCGAGGTGCAGGTGCAGAACGAGAGGATTTTGATGGAGGGGGCTTTGATTGACGAGAAGGTACTGGGGGCACATGTCGTGATCGTACGCTTGACGAAGAATTAGTGTGAATTACTTTTGGAGGAGGTTTATATTCTTCTTCTTCTTCTTCTGGTTCTTCATATTGGTCGGCGAACGTATCTATAGACTCTTCGTTTTCTGAATCATCGTATGATTGACGTGAGATTGTGGGAGTCCGCCGGTTGGATATTGGTTCATTTATTTCAGTTGTGTAATTAGCAGGAAACATGCCACTTCTAACCGTACCATCCGGATCAGTAATTTCGCCATTCCACCAGCCTTCATCTATTTCCTCAGTCACCGTTATTACATCATCTACTGCGATTGTTAGTTCATCATCTCCACTCGCTTCAAACTCATATATGGCCTTGACTTTTTTGGCGCCTGATGAAGACGATGAATCTTTTGAATATGAACTAGGTGACAAGCTACGAGTTGGTTTGTTGCTAACGTTGGACTTGAGCGATTTTGGTTTGGATACTGTGCCAGAGGACCGAGACGTGCCTGCCTTTTTACTGCGAGAATCGTTCGAGTACGATCGGGTATCATCATCCGATAACTGATCCTCGGTGTCGTCGCGAGACGTTCTTGAATCGCGTGTCGATCTCCTTGATATTAATGGTCGTCTTGATGTAGTTCCCGAGTTTCTGAATTCAGAAATATAATTATTCAGACTGATGAACTGTCAAGTTTCAAAACACTATAGAAAGATACTTACACTTCGACCCAATCCTCCTTGACCTCTGCTAATATTTCGTATCCTCGTTTAAAGAATTCGAACTGAGCGTCTAAAAAGGAAGACACGTCTTTGACAGAATGCTCCTAAAATTGTAAAAATATCAATTGATGAACATCAGCATTTCAACCAATACATTAAAACTCCAAATGACTTTTATACAACACAACGACGTACTTCGTGCTCAAATATCGTGTTAATTTTATTCTCAAGGTCCTCCAATGTTTCCTCGTACTTTTGTTTAGCAGCTTGCATTTCCTCTTCTAATTCAGGCTTTTCTTTTTTTGATTTCTGTACTCTATTCTGTTTGGCATCATAGTCTAATCGTCTCGATTCAAGCTTCTTTTTCAAAGCTTGGTATAGCTTTATATCAGCAGTGACAGCATTAACCCCATCAAGAAACTCGTCTTTAACACGAGTGAGATATTCCAATTGAGCACTGGCAATTTTCTCGTTTGCAATCCCAAATTTAACCAGCGCAACGCCTATGTAGGAAGAAGAAAAAAAAAGACAAACAAGAAAAGCAAAGCGTATTATCAGTTATTAATTCAAGCCCAGTTTATAAATGCACGAAATCATAAGTAACCATATCAAAAGACATACCGAATTCTGAATCACTGCCGAGTTCTTCGCCAAATACTCTCATCGCTGCCCCAAGCGATTCGATCGGAAGAGATCTGCTTCTATCGTCGAAAGAGGTTTTCTTCTTCCCTATAAGAACAACCAATTGTAGAATCTTTAGATAATGTTTTTTTTTTTAATCTTTCGAATCTTGCTTAGATATTTACATGATTATTTGAGAATGGCTTTAATTACACTTTGGAAACAGCCACGGATCAATAATTATCACAAGAACAGACTCTGAAGCTAAAACGATATTACTTCATAATTTTACATTACCTATTGTCTTTAAATAAGAATTCGTTGTAGTTAAAATTTTCTCATAACCATTATTTCGAGCGTCAGCTTTCTGTTGAAGCTCTTTGAATTCGTAAGTTGTCTCTGTTTTATGCGAGGAACCGAGTTTCTCGCCTGTCCACTATGTACAAGAAATTTGTAGTCAGAGGGCGAACAACGGCTGATGATTTCATACTGCTTTCTGTTTTTCAAGCGTATTCACTCACCTGCTTGAATTTGCCTATGTTTTTCTTCATTCTGTATTGTCTACAATTCTTATTTTTCTTATGAAATAGTAAGAAAAGAGTTTGTTTCCTCCCACTATTTACTATTGGAAATAGTAAGGCTAAAAATTGATGTCCATGAAAGGCAAGTGTCAAAATCAGGTGAGTATCACAGCGCTGGTTTTGGATAGTCAGGTGAGCTTAAAAGCTATCAATGCGCTAGATTCTCGCGTTGTTTATAATCCAACGTTTATCTAGGCCTTACTTTATGATAATGCTTACACGATCATTCTCAATAATCTTTGAACGCGAGCTTCAATGATAATGTTGTGTTTATTTAACAGCGCTTGCTTCTCTTGCAGATTAAGCCATCAAGCAAATTTAAAATTGTTAAGGTGAACAAATTGAGTTCTATATCAGGTGTTAGGCTATCTGTAGTAATTATTATTAAAAACTATTGACCTACAGTAAATCTACGATGCAGTAATCTGCCCAAATTTCCTACCCTCTTTAAAGTTTTGGAACATTCTAGAGACGAGAGAATTCTATATTGAATGTTGCCCTTGTGTCAACCAATTCTCTTACAGTACGTATTTATATTGTTAACACGTAATTATGCGTCCCGTGCTGCAATTAAGATTGAAAAATGGTAGGTTAATTTTCCAATGTCTCACCATTTAATTATTATTATGCACTGTTATTCATATTACTCTTTCATATTTTATACATTTCCTATCACTATAGGATAAATGGAGCATCACTCCCCTGAAGTAATATAGTAAGCCATTCTTTGACATGTTATTCGTTGAATGTTGATAAATATCTACTTTTCTCTTTTTACACGCGGTTATAGACCGGACTTTTGCGTAAATCTTTTATAATATTTATATTTTATTGAGAATAGGCCATGTGACTGCCATAGTCTGATGGAGTTTGCCAAATTACCGCGGTGATGTATTACTCATAACTAAATTCTAGTATGCGGGAAAGGTAGAAAACAAGAATGCTTTAATTTTTGCATAGAGTGCAATTCGGGATTATTGATTTAAAATAAGTAAAGTTTCCTATATCAAGAGATTATAACAAAATCGCATCATGTCTTCCTTATCGGCGATCCTATGATATCGATCAACTTTTGCAACTAAATTGAATAATTAACTATCCCCTTTCTTATTACTACTACTTTCGCTTTGGTGCGGGTCTAAATGGAATGTACGTAATATGGAAACATGTGACATCTTATCAAATAGAAGAATAACATACATAAACATTCTATATCCTGGGAAGTCTTGGACAATACGCCAAATCTAAATCTATGCATAATCGACCCAAGGCTAGGCAATATCAGCCGTTAAGGCGAGACTCGGATTTCCTATTATTAAACCAATGAGTCGGACTTCAATTCACTGTCGATATATAAGTTTAAAGATGATATTGATGGTACCTTGGTCTTCCTGGCCTTCGCCCACTCGGACTTCCAGTTCTGGCAGGCGATAAGTGATTACCAATGGAAACAAGTTCCTTTTCTACATTGACAAACACGGGTTTGGTTGGTGGAAGGGGGACATTTTTAAAGCCTGCGGCTTCATTTTCACTAACAATCGGGAAAGGAAGTAGGAACGGCGTAACACGATACGAAGGGGTAGAGAAGAATGAGAGGTGCACATATATGAGATGCAGCGAACAATATAACAGATTGGCCTTTGTTTTGACTGTTCATACTATCAATTATACATACGCTTCGGCATTTGCTTCCGTATATCCTTCATAATAATGCTTCGAGTTTTTGTCCACATGATACATTCGTGTAGACGGATCGTAATACGGTCCTCGTTGTTTGCGGGCCCAGATTAATAAGGAGTTCCTAATAATAACCAAAAAGATAAGCGTACTTATGTGGCTGATTTTCACCCAACAACAACTCATCTTCTCTTATTATACGTCAAGGTTATATTTACCAGTCTTAATTGTCAATTCGCATTTCAATATGGCGTTCTTTAGTATACTTTTCAATGAAAACAAAGAATAAACAACAAACGACACAATCAACAATGAGATAGTTGTGACAATACCAGCTGTAGCTTGGATTGCTGCTTTCCTTCTCAGCTCCTCTTTCACATCTGCAAAAAAAACAAAATAATTGCAATTATTAATAATCAGTCCATCCAAACTATAATAATCGTATACAACCATTTATTAACAACTAAGGCTACAACATCATTTATTCATACACTACAATAACAATGAACCAAACTTTATTTTTATAGCCGCATAGTAAATTAGTGATTTAACTCCTCCTTGCTTTTTTGTTTGCCGACCAATTACCTGCGCTAATACTCGTTTTTTGTGAATAGCTTTTAGAGTTATCGTTGGTGTCGCTATTATGGTTAGACATTGGTATATTGTTATTGTCGGTGGGAATGGAGAGTATTAGAAGCGATGCGAGAGTACTTGTACATGAATGGTAAGGAATGTGTGACAAACATTTACGTTTGGAACACATGAGCTAAAATAAGGAATGTGGCTGGTAAGCTGTTGGTTTAGCGCACAGCTGTGGCTCACACAAAACACCGTGATTTCATGATGTCGTTGCAATGAAGCTGTTTCAAAACTCCTATTACCATTCTCTTTGCTAATATTAGCTTCAACACCATTATCAACATTAATATCTTCAATTAAATAAAAACTTTGGAGTAAATTTTGTTTGCCCGGTCAGTTTTGTAACTTCAATGTCTTGATTAAAGCATTAGAGTTGGATATGGGGCATGCTGCATTTTATTATGTGACATAAATGAGAGGCTGATGTGGCTGAAAGTTGACTAATTTGACTAATAGCATTTTGATTATCACAGCAATAACTTGTATGTAAATTACAGTTTTAAACTAATATCATGCTGAAATATACTTTATTGAGTAAAGTTCTACCTGAATTACAATATGCTTAATATAGGATTATGTCTATATAAAAATATAAATATTACATTAAATACACTATGGAACCCAAGAATTACAGCACTATTAGAGGTATTTTAAAGAAAGCTCAAGGAGAAAAAATTGCTCCATATGTTTTAAAATCAATGATACCAAAATTCTCGAGGAGTATCTAGATAAAGAAAAAATAACTTATGAAATTTACCAAGAGGAACGAAAAATAATAAACTATAAACAAACATTATCCTCAACTTATGATGAACCAAGAAAGAAACGAAAACGTGAAGAAACGTAAGGAAAATAAATTCAACGTAAAAAGCTTCCCCTACGCCTTCACTGATCGAGCGACCTATCAATGAAATCGTTCCTTATAGTTTTTGACTTGTTGATAAATGACCTTGATTTGCATTTCGTTAATTTGATACAATTGTAACAATGTGACAATAATTTGATTTTTGTAGACATAATTTTATTGCCTTTAATTATAGAATGCGATCGCTTTTGAAATAAAAGTACCAGAGTGATTATATGGGAGAAAAACCAAAGCCATTAATGAGTATACCTATTCTTTGGTCACTCTGGCAAAACTTGTACTACATTTCATTATTATTATCATTATTATTATTAACATCTTCATTCTCTATTTCTTTAATCTTATCCATCCATTCTTCGATAGCTTTTAGTGTACTCTTCCTCGGATTTGTTTTTCGTTCGCAGATACTTTTCAACGTGGAGGCTGCAACGCCTTTTCCTTCGCGTAATGAGCGGATTTCAGTGGGCATTTGATTAAATGAAAAATTCGAATCCCAGTCTAGCTTTTTTAGCAAACAAGTTTTTAAAGTTCGTCAACAGTTTTTCGACGCCTGGTAAGTAACTTCGTTCGCCGAATTGTTTACTTGGTTTATTATTGTGCCTTTTTGTAGGCTCGATTAAATTGATTATTCGATCAATTTTTTGATTTATGACGTAAAGTTTATTTTTGTGGAGTATATATTAAAGCATGAAGCCAAGAAGAAGCCCGATCCACAATAAAATTCGCTGGTAAAAGTGGGAATTTTCAAATTGTTTAAGGCAAAGTGATCAAGTAGCTTTTACGATTGATTTTACGATCAATTTAAATTGATGATTGTTAGGTATGAATGAAGAGAGATTCTGACGGTCTTGCTGTTTTTATAATAAACTCATGCACTCACAAAAGGCAAACTCGAACATAAAGCACACCTTGAACGTCGTTGTTGTTCTTTATGGCAGTATAACACTCACTAATTAGTATGGTTAGAACTTATTATTGTACTATTACGACAAGTTAAAACATCAATTACAGGGGCAACAATCGGACAATCTGATTTGATGCATGCAATCGTTCCACAACGTGATATGTCCTATGATTGATTATAACGCGTGCACACGTTCTTTTCTTTCTTCTCATAATTCGACATGGACCAAGTTGAATTTGGCAACTATGTTCTTCAGTATAAGAATGACAACCCCAACACTACCATGGATGAAATAGTCCAGAAATACAACGAGTCAAAGCAAGGTAAACAAGCAATGAATACAAGGATAGTTACAAACAACAGTTGGGACGAGTTGAATCTTAGCAGAGCTGGGTTAGATTCAGAGACAATATGGGTTAATAGGAGCAACGGGTTCGTAGAGCAACCATGGGGTCAACAGAGGGAGAATAGTTGGAATGCATTACAGCACATGCATTGGGAGGAGTATAGAATAGTGTATTTACCAATAGTCCTGCTCAGAAAGAATAGTAGTGCTTAACCAATACACATGCAGAGTTGGGGCATATAGTTGAGATAGTGATATGGTTTTTTGACATTACACTACCCACTTGGATTGCCTCAGTAGGTGATGCACCAATTGAAAAAAGGTTTCAATCCAACACAGCAAGGATGAGGAAGAGCAGTTTGCACAGACATTTAGGGTACCATATGACAATCCAAAAGGAAAGCATGTGGATCATTTCGTGAGCTTCTGTAATAAATGCATTAAAATGTGGAATCCAGCAAAGTATTATGCCCTATACTCATTAATAGTGCAGTCAAGTGGCACTGGTAAATCGAGACTACTTGTGGAAGTCACTAAGAAATGATATGTCATTTACTGCTGTCTCCAAGGTCCTGGTAGCACAGGTTACCCCCATGTTCACCCATTTGGCATAAGCTTATCACAGATGCTCAAGTGACAGATCCTCAAAAATGGCCAAGCAAAAGACTCTATGTCTCCTTGGTTGCTGCCATCGAAGTATTCAAGAGATAATGTCCAATAATAGTAGCTGATTTTTTGCCTGAAATGGAATGAGATACATCCAATCATCCTCTGATCGAAGAATTGAAGTTGATGCCACCATTCTACCTTCTTGATACAATCAATGATTCTATAACTGTTGCAAAGCCTCCCAGATCCATCAAAGAAATGTATTGTGGGCAATGATTACTACAACTGGGCCACCCATTGTTTCATTCATACATCCAGGCTGGCAATTTATCATTTTTCTCAACACATCTCACTATGCTTAAGAACACTGCTGCTGCTAAGCTTGTTGGAAGCAAGTTTCCTCATGTTGTTCAGATGCTTGAGGCACTGAGAGTAGGGCAAATTTGATGGTTCTGGGACAGCACTAGTCATTAAGCATATCATTAGCTCCAAAAACACCAAAAAGCATATTGTTTTTTTATATATCTAGAACACAACCAATTACACAAATTCAGGATATCAATTTTTTTATGATATAGCAGAATTCAATATAAAGCTGATTTTTCACTACTACAGTATATTAATTTTTTATATATCTAGAACACAATCATTTACCCAAATTCATATCAAAAAGGATACCAATATTATTTGATATATCAGAATTCATTCTAAAGCTGATTCTTCACTACTTTTCTGGCACAAAAAATGTGACTATACACCTCAAAGGGTAACAAAAAATGTGACCATACCTTAAAGGGTAACAAATTTTCATACTATATATACCAAAGGGTAACAAAAAATATATCCATATACCTCAAAGGGTAACAAAAAATGTAATCATATATCTCAAAGGGTAATAGTAACAAAATTTCATATTATATATATCAGCAGAGCTGGCACAGCCAAAGGGTAATAAAATTTGGGCCAGGTTTTTAACCTATTGAGAACTTATTTTTGAAGCCCTAGCATGTAATCTATTATAGTATTGAACCACATAGTACCCCCTAATATGCAATGGACATCGACCAGAAGTTGAACCAGTTGGTTTACCACAATCAGTACAAGGTACTCTTCTTTTAGCTTTCCAATGATAACTACAACCTTCAACTCTCATACAGGTTCTTCCACAAACTTCACTGGAATTGTGATAAAATGGGCAATTCACCAATCATTTTTAATATACAGAAATATTTATTTAAACAAAAACTTTTATATTATTAATATACAAAACTTTAGATAATCAAAACATAACACATATTCAAATGTCAGCTATTACTCAAAACATCTCTCAAGTATCTACAGAGGTTGAATCCTCTATTCCAACCTGGCAAGATATCGAAAAAGCTATACTAGATATTCTAAGAGCAGGTATATATTATAGAAAACCAAAAATAAAGGTTTTATGAGCTGGTATAAAAAACAATTAGAAGAATTACATGGATCAGAAGATCCAGAAATACATATATATGAAAAAGCAATAGAAAAGTTTCCTAATGAAGAGATTTTTAAAACAACTATGGAATGTCACAAAGGTTATTATAAAAAAAAAAAATAAAAATTTGACAAGCTATTGAAAAGTATTATAATTTATGTTATAATATTTTACCATAATATTCGCTCATTTGTTAGAGATGAATTCAAAGATATTACTTGTCCACAACCAATTTATACTAGCAACGAATAAAGTTCAATTACTTCATCACTCGTTAATTTATTTTCTACTGCCAATAATATTAAGTCTAATAAGTTTAATCTTTCAAAAACAAACAGAGTTTAGAATTGGTTCGTTCCTTTTTGCAACAGCAAGAAGATTCTAAGGAGTTACTTAAACAAGTTAATGCTCTTGATTACTACATTGGTTTTGTCAGGCCAGCATCTTCAGACCTTCAGTACTTTTAGAATCATTTAGTTCCTATAATTGTCCTTTTAGAATAGTTCTTTACGTTCTAATAAACGAATCATTGAAATATATTTTATTGGTTAGCTTCCTGATCTTTATTCCCTATTCGATCGCCGGTTAAGTGATAAATCGCTTTCTCGATCGGCGGTTAATAAGTTTGGTCTTGCCACTGAACTTATCGTGAACTTAGGCATCAGGATTCTATTTAATTGCATGTTAAGCGCGCTCTTATTTATAAACTTTCCCGTTGATAGATTTTCGTTAAATAATCCCTAGCGAATCATAATCATTGTTTACTCGGAGGTTAAATAGAATCCAGAGAAGACGTATACAGATAGTCGGATACGATATCCGTGAGTATTGATAAATCTTATTTAAGTCACTAATTGTATAGAGGTTTAGCGATAGTAGGAACGAGCCTAAGAGTTCCGCCGGAAGACGACTAAATCCCAAGGTCGTTACACGAACGCTCTCCCACGTGTGGCGATCCGACAGTTTAAAAGTTGATGAATGCAAAGAAATAGTCAATTTTTTTAGTCAAAAATAGTAAACTGGTATTTTAACTTTGTCTTTCATTATTATTATCGTTATTATTATGAATACATAAAATATATATCACGTGCCACCAATAAAATGCCGACTCTCCATATATGCACACCCTCCATATATGCATGCTCCAGCTCTTCCAAGGGGCGTGCATATATGGAGGGTAGACTGTAATTTACATAAATTTTGTGTACAAGTTATTGCTGTGATAATTAGTCAAATTAGTCAACTTTCAGCCACATCAGCCTCTCATTTATGTCATATAATAAAATGTTCACTTGGTTTTGTTTGTCCAAGTTTTTGGCCTAATCTGGCAACATCTGTGTGTCGCGCAATTTCTGGGCTGTGTTACTTGGATTTGGTGTGCTGCGGAATCGGAGATTTTCGTGTGATGGAGCGGAAATCACCTAGGCCTTGATCTTGACAATTGCCTACTGCTTTGTTGAAGGAAAATATAACATGAGGTATTCAATGCATGAAGGTATCAGAGCTACAATAATCTCTGAGCTATTACTATGAGCAGAAAGTAGACTCACAGTTGCTTGAAAGAGCATGACAGAAAGAATGGTTTCTTCAGCCTTGCCATCATAATCATGACACACCATCAGTCCTGATGTCAGACAAGCATTTGGTTCATCTACATCTGGCTTTCTAGATTTCTACATCAATGGCAACCTTAAGTACCTTAAGTGGGAAAAAAAATTAATGCAAGAGGGACGTGACCATGTGGAACTTTAACCTGAACGGAAGGTATAGGCGGATTCCTTTCTTATACTGGGCCATTATTGGTTTCCGCCACAATTCTCTGAGGCCTGATCATAAAAACTTGGAACCTAATGTCTGGTGTGCTTTATATAAAAATGACTACTACTACAGCAAAATGACTATTAATACCATGCACTTACAACCCTTAAATACAGAAATAACTTATAACTTAAAGGTTAGCGCGTCATTATAAAGGAGCCGGCCATTGTAAATAAAACTATTAAACCATGTATTTGTAGGTTTATTATCAGAACTACAAGAAATTAGTAATAAGTTGAGAATGCTCGACAATAAGTGCCACAATAGGATAGTGTTAATCCAACCAAGTAACAGAACATATGACGGTTGATTTGGATAACTTTTTTGAATTCTTTATCTTTGACATAAAACTTTTAGCAGCACAATTAATTGGAAAATTATTAGTTTAGCAACATCAAGAAAAAAAGATCACCACATAACTCTACAACCATGTCCTTCTCATCTTTACACATGATATAGATAGTAATAATAAGCTTGCCCACACCTATAACAATAATGTTAATCTTCATAATTGTGGCCACACAATAGAAAACCAAGTTTAAGAATCTAGAAACTCGATTTCTCATTACTTCTGGTAAATTTAAAGTGTCATCAAAGTAGCACTGAATAATAACTTACTACAAATTAATAACTTTGAAATATCATATATTCAAACACGTACATGAAACTTGACTGATTAACTAACAAAAGTATTCACTATTATTTTTTATCTAATTGAATTTACAGCTTATATTGATATAATCCGACGCAAAAACCGAAATTTGAGAAGTTGAGAAGTGGGACAAGTAATCAGTTGCTTGTGCTTATATTTATTAATGATGCTTCGAAGCACCAAACTATTATGCTTGTTCAATTTCTGTAATTACGAGTTTGCATTTGAATTCAACTTTATTTGCCACTTTGGAAATGATCGACAGAAATCATTTTCGCGTCAGTCGCGTTGAGTTGACATTAAATTATAATAATAACATAAACTTTCATCTATCAAACAGAATGCATGATATTCTATTACAGCTTGCTCATTCCGGTCCTCATTTCAGTCAATTCACCTACAAATATCGTAATCACAGTCAGCAAATGTTTAATAAAGAGACTTAAAACGTAAATATCAGCGTACCTTTATTATCTCTCATATTGAATTTCTCCCACGTGTTGCTTGGATTTACATTAGCAATGGGAGCATACAGCACTCGAGGATCAACACCCAGAGCATCTACTAAGACAATACTGTGTGGAGCCAAAGTAGCCACTATTGTTCTGATTAAAAGTGGAACAACTCTAGCCGAGTCTTTTGTTATAAGATTGTTGACCATATACCAAGAGAGATTGGCTTCAATTTGGGCCAATGCATACAAGCAAGCTAATTGATACAACGACTCTCTATTATAAGAAATTGTAAAAGTTAGCGTGTTTTCCACAAGAAAAGCAATGTAAGCATCCACATATGTACCTGGAAAATCCTTGTAGTTTGTTAATAGCAATTAGGGTTTGCTCAAGAGCAATCCTTCCGCCATGTGCACTAGCCAGCGCTTGAATAGTATCAGACTCTTGTCGCATCCAAACATCAAAGAGAGACGTACCTACATCCATTTTCGTTGCCATATTGTTATCGAGCTAACAAAAGATTATCAGTTATTAGCTGGAACTATTATATCAGAACACTAATATCCTTAAATCTCACCCTATGATAATAAACCCCTTGTTTGGAACTCACCTCTTGCAATAGGCTTCTCTCTCTCAATATAAATAGTTTCATCAAATTCTCTAGCTTGCTCAGATCCCATGTTAAAGCAGCTGCAGCGTCCGATACGTTGGGTAGTTTCACGAGTCCAGATTTGACATCTGCCAATAATTCCTTGGATACTTTCTGCATTAAAACTGAATTGTCTCCCTCTGCTGTCATGCCAGAATGAGCCAATCCGATAAACCCACTAAATCTATTAACACTAAGATATCCTTGCCCACCACAACGCTCCCTGCATGTTGTGCCAACCCTTTCAAAATTCCAAGTTACGAGAGGCTTGATAACACAGCAAAGACGCACGATGTCTTTGACATCTTTTTTCGTCTTATAGTCAATAAAAATGTGAAGGAAAAAAAATTGTTGAGAACGCACCGAAAAATCCCCTTACATGACTATTAACAAGACTGACTTCATTAATCCAACCTGTTTTGCCCATCTGACTTTGCAATAATTCAAACCAATATTCAGCACAGTCGTTGTGGCTAACAAAGGTAACAGAGCCCTCTGTTGAAGTTGGTATGCCAATATGGCCGTATCACTAAAAACAAGTTCATGATAAGCATTGATTTATATCGTCAGAAATTCCTGATACACCCTTTACAAACCTTTTGCCATTAGGACCAACGCAAAGACGAGAATTCGCATAGCGAAAGGCAATAGAAAGACAAGCTGTTCGGCGTCAAACAAATGTTAGTTGTTGACACTTAATCCGACAGACACACATACGAGATTACCTTTTGTTCCCCCAAGACACATTGATGCAATTGCAAGCCTTCCAGAAAGAAGCTGGTCTGCCACTTTCAAGAATCGTCTGCAAAATACGTGTGCGATTAGGATAATTTTTTCCCCCCAAATGTAAAATAGGAAATTAGTAATTAGACTTACCCTCTGCGACTGTTAACAGAGCTTGTAAAGTTGTTGTTCTCGTCAATGTTCGAATACCTGTTAAGCAGGTTATCTACTGGTACTCGAACCTAAACAAAGTATTTGAAGGTGATGACTTATTCTGTCTCAACCAGATAGTCTTTGTAAAAAGACAAAAACTTACGTTATTATACCAGAGTTTTCCTTGGAGCACGAGTTAAGTATAGTACAATTAGATCGTCAAACCAACAACAGCAAGATCACATATCGAAAGTTTCCCTTCCGAGATTGTGAGGAAGAACTTACCATTATCCACGCCATTGCACTCAAACTTCATACCCATATCCTCAATCTTAACGCCCTCGCATGGAGTCATGCTGTTTAAATGCATTCACGCAAACTTGTTTAGAACTGTATGACTCGTGCAAATCAAAAACGTTCAAGATCATACTCGTTCACTTACTCATCGTGACGAATCCGAACCAAGATAGCATGTATACCTTCATTCTGTCCACGAATGATGGTTTGAGCGAATACGATAGACCACTTTGCATGAACGGCCGACTAATAAATTTCATCTCGGGTTAGACACTCTCATATGTTAACATAAATAAGCACATACTCGAACGCCGATTTCGGCTTCCCAAGCAGATCTCACATAAACGTACATTCGTAATCCAATACTTTTGAGCCAGCGTCGAAGGAGTGTTGATAATGAATTCTCGCGTTTTCTCATCATAAACAGCAGTGGTTTCCATTTCAACAGCATTATTACCGTATCCAAGTTCAGTTAGCGCAAAACATCCAACATTGTTGAGATTGTCAACGCCGGGTAAGAGATGTCGATGCCTTTCAGTCCCGAGTTTGATAACCGTTCCGCCAAAGAGATTCCATTGTACAGTCATCTGAATGCAGTTTTAAGACATATGATTATTAGTATATAGCGACCGTATTATGTATATCAATGATTTTGATTGGAAAAATATAAGTCTTTTTTTCCCACCTTGGTAGCCACGGAGCCATCAACCATGCCAGCGACTTCATGTGCTGTAAGATGAGAAAACATCGAGGGAATAAAAAGGTCACAATAGGGGAAAAAACAAACCCAATTGATGTTTAAAGATTAATATCATCTCTTTAGCCTTTGTACATACCAGCAAATATATTCAGTGGGTTGTTTTCAAAATCAAATACAGAAATGAATCTCTTATTGGCCAAGCGTTGCAATCGTTCTAACGCCAACTCTCGTTCAAATTCCAACGGAACATTGTATCGTGGTATGTAGATAGGGTCATTCGCCATGAAATCGAGCATGGCTCGACGATTTTTGTGGTTATCATTGAGAAGAAGTTCGTTTAATGGCGCTAAATCGCTAGCAGACATTTTAAACGGTTTGAGTGGGGTCATGTTGGACAAACAGTCCAAAACTTGCATTGCAACCCACATTTTAAGTTATCTTTAACCATGTGACCAAATGTAACAAATAATAACGATAATATTTGTCTCAATGCAACTATTTCCGACAGAATGCTCTTCGCTATAAAGCAGTATTTTGTCAGAATTTGTTCTATGATGCAATAGATGCTCAACAAACAAAATTTGAAATACTGGGTCTTGAAGAGTTGGGTTATAATAATGAGAAAGTCCATGCCATCGTTTTGTATTAAATTTTTGGCGGAATTTCTATATGGGTCGATTATTGATAGAACATTCACCAGACTATCATATAACCCCAACAGCACATATTTGTCGTTCCTGACACATTCTTTACAATAAGTGAAGGAATGTCTTCCTAATGCGACTGTAAGCATCGGTTTGCTCTCTGATTAAATGAATTTTACTTATTCATTCGAAAAGTGTTACAGGTTTTAGGGCTGTTACTTGTATTGTATGTCATTATCATAATAATCGTTGTATCGAAGAAACTTATTAATCCACCCACGATAGTTTTGCTCGAGTTATGGCTTGATGTTAATTAAAACCTTTGTCCAAACTTACAGTTCATCGTCTGGTAGAAAGCCCATGCTGACACTAATTTGCCTGCTCCCTACTATATTAATATAGAAATTATACTTTAGCATATGGTCAACGTCAGCATTAGTTATTATTGGGAAGGACTCATACGACTATTTGCTTTGCATCGCTCATTATAAGTGCAGGCCCGGTCGAACATGGTATTGGTTCTATGGATAAAATTATATTATCGGATCCTTTGATAGATTATCATTTCCAATATTGCCTCGTGCGGAGGTAAGCCTATTCCCTGGACATTAAGTATAGTATCTATAGGAACAGGCATATATTATGCTAAATATAAAAAAAATACATGACCACAAATATGGTAATTGACGAGAATTACTAATTATTGATGGTAAATTTGGCCAGTGTAAACATCGTTTATTAAAATAGTGATACTGTGGATAATCAATTCTTTGCTGTCTAGCATGTGGCTTTTAGCAGCCAACTTGTTGAAATTACTCGTCCGCTTACTATTACCCCTTGATAAGCGTTGGCTGATGATTTCTTATACTTTCCGCAATATTCACAAAGTGATCTTTCAATTCGAGTGTAGACGGTACTAACACATATTCACACTTGAGTCCTGTGGCAGTCTTTGGGGCATATGTAGACGCAATATTTGCCATCTCTCGAAGTGATGATCCGTCTCTCGCATATCCATTATTATTATTATTATCTACGGAAATACCAGAAATAAGAACACAAATCAAAGATTTGTTTGATGACAAATTAATCGTGGAACTTACGTGAACGGGCAAAATATACTGTATATAAGTAAACAGGGGACCTAGTTGTAATAGGAGAGTGTGAGTCCTATATAGGCAGAATACAGTAAATACTACCGTTTAGAACTCTACTTACTGTTCGGCTTGGCCTCGGCTGCAAATCTCTTCGAGTTCTCTTCTGGGCACGCTACAGCCACCATCGGATAGAAATATGATCACATTCACTCTAAAAAGATAGCTTGGTTAGCCTTATCGAACCATGTACCCCAACCTGCTAAAGCATTCCCACCTGGCTTGTCGTTTGTATCTCTGAATAAGGTCTCCAGTCGTATTAATAGCTTTAACATAATTAGTACTACCGCCGGCCTCATATCTACAAAGATCATCAATTAAACTATCGTTGTATTCAAATTTTTGGTTCTGCATGACTACAGTCGGCTTATTGTCAAACAGAACAAACGACATTATATCGTTATCAATCTGATTTGTCCCGTTAACTCCACATCGTGTCCTAATAAATTGTTTCACACATTCATAGACTGCACCAAGTCGATTGTTATGTTTCTGCATAATTTTGTGAGATCCGATTCTATCTTCGGGCGTTTTATCGGTGTGAGACATCGACCCGGATTTATCGATAACGAAAATAACATGGTATGTGTCATAATGTGAACACTCAAATTGATGACCGTCTCTAGAGATATGACCATTTGCCACTTGTGTGTTAGGATCAGCAAGTTCGTGAAATAATGGCAATGTGCAATGGTTTTTACTCTTGTCAGTATGTGTCGCACTGCCACAAACATGCACACAACTTGCAAAGAGTTTCTGTTCGTCGGGTGATTCATAAGGATCTACAAAATATTATAGTCAGTATCAACGTTAGCCACATGATTAATACAAAGCTGAACTATAATACCTCGGAAACCCGAACGACTCCAATATAGACGATGTGAGATATAGTCTTTGGGCCTGTGTGGATATGGTTCAACTTCATCTAAAAACGCAGTTATAGATTAGAAAATAAAAACAAATTCAGAATGAAAGAATAAAGGCAGCTATGTAACTACCATTAATGTGCTCTATTTGATCTTTCCGCTTATTTGATTCTGATTTTGCTTTACATGTATTTTCGTCAGGACAATAATCGACATGAAGATGACGATCGGCATCTTTGCACAGCTGTCGCATAAATAGTGGTTACTATTATGAATACAGTATACATCTCGTTAAATAATCATTTGTTATTCACTTACCATGTGGCAGTAGACAGCACGCCCCGAATCCCCACTCTTAAATGTATGTCTGTTATAATCGATAGTTTTGGTAACGCCTACCCAAACCATCGGCTTCATGCTTCCATGGGCAGTTTCATGCAGTCCCTTGTGATCATATCTCATATCGCACTAATAGCACAACATCGTATCAGTATTATTACGCATCCGAAAGCACCTTGGATGCTTAACAGTCAGCAAACTTACATAAAATTCGCAGTATGGACATCGCTTCTCACATCTATGTGTATCTTTACATTCGTGAGGACCATCATGGCGCAGTTTGTTTGGCGGAATCATACGATCGCAATCGAGTCTCCTTTCTTGTTGTGAGCGCTTGATAAATATTGTTATGAAAATTGGTTAATCAGGCCGTTAAATACCACTAACTGCAAAGAAAGCTTACCTCTTCGTAAGAGAACTTTCCGTAACCGTTCATGTAAGTTTTCGTTTCCCTTGTGGTGTCGACCTTACAGATACCTCTCTTCTCACATTTATTATTGCATGGGTGTGCATACCTAATAAATGATAGTATTATATTAGCTTTCAGATGTTAAGGCAATTAATCAATCGACAATCTTGATGACTTACCCACAGATATGAAACTTTGTCTCAAGAGCATGGAGGTGATCTCGACTCTGACACAGTCTTTTACATCCGTCAATGCAACAGGCAATGGGACAGCCTCGAGACTCGCATTTATGTTGTTCATGATCTTCTTCACAAGGAGTCGCACAAAGTCCCATACATTTACATAACTTTGAAGCTGATAAAGCACATTTTTTCCCGCAGAAATGTTTCTTCGCTTGACACAAATGATCCCCTTCATGGTTATCTGGTCTTGCGCATCTCTTAAGGCAACCCTTCTTCGCACTGTACTTGCATTCATGAGTACATGTGTGATTTGATTCACAAATGTGTTTTCCCGCATGTCCAGCAGGATGATGACATCGTGGTAGTTCAACTCCATCGACGTGATCCCCCCCAAAGTCGCAATGTGAATGACATTTATGATCGGTCATACAGTTATGTTCTGAATTTTGATGTTTGTTCTTCAAACATAGTAAACTGCATCCGTTGTTGTTGCAAGCATTCTCACATAAAGCCCAATGCTGTCTGAGCTGAATGAGTTCTTTTTCGAGTTCTTGTTTGGTTTGTACAACTTCTTGGTGATCCGGTTGATATGGTTGGATGTTCGCATTAAGCCACTTTTCAACACGATCACAACGCCGATTTATAATTGCACTAATAAATTGACTATAATTATTCAGCCATTCAGAGTCATCTCTGACAGACGAACGCTTTCCAAAATGACTTTCGAAGAATGTGAAAAGAACATTGAATTGCTCAACCAAATTCGAATTCTCGTTAGACGGATTTGCTAAAACTATATTGGCGTCTGGTAAAAGTATAGTAGAGTTGTTCAGAGATTGTAACATTGGTATCTCATAATCGTCAATATAGGCTCCAGTGTTATGATCCTACCAATAGAGATGAAGACGTCAGCAGTGTTGCTACCAAAAGCAGAAATCAATGATCCTAACATTGTAGTGAAACTTACAACAAGACACTGCACAACAGATTGAGAATCGCGTCTATTTTCATTACAATCGTTGTTTCCAATTTGTGAAGCAAATTCAATAAACTCATGACCGTAGGCTACAACATTCGGGAGTAGCTCCTTAAATTTCCTAACTTTGCTTCGTAATATACTCTCGGACAGGGATGTCCAGTCACTTATCTGTATTAAATTGCATACGAGTTATTATAAGAATTATTTTTATGAGCATGTATCGGTCCTTACCATCAATTTTGCCATAATGAACTTAAGCTTAGTCAGAAAATCAAGTGCATTGACATATTTAGTCGGTGCTTCAAAATCCAACTTGTATTTGAGTAAATCAAGCTCCGCATAAAATCCTGACATTTTGCGATAAATGATTAACAAACGCACGTTTAATAAAAAGACAGCACATTCTAACCTCACCCGGATCATTAAACACAGGCCAAGCTATGATACTCATTGCTTCACCATACAATCTGGACATGAAGTTATTTTCGTTTTCCTATAATATATACAGACTTTGTTAAGTATTAAGAGTTTCTTCATTGTTATATTTTAATTATCTGCTATACATACGGTCTCTACAATGTCGGTGAGCTTCTGGTAAAACTCATACTGGATTACTCCAGCATCGGGATCTGCGACATCTTTAATAATTATGCAAAATAATGCCTGTAAATGATATCCAGCGTTAGCCATTTTGCCGAGCATCAACCAATTTATTGTCTGAAGACTCACCTGAAAAATCCTGCTTTCTTCTTCTTCATTGCCAAAATAACGTCTTCCCACTTGAAATCTCTTGAACATTTCCGACATATCCCGATTTATAGAAAATTGATTCTTGAACAAAATCATTGTCGATAGGCTGGAGAGGCATAATACGAGAGAAGTAAAACGGCATCAAGAAAAACATCCATTTGAAAAAGTTTCCAGCTTAAAACCTACCTCGCGTTTAAGAGAGTTAAATGGAGATCGTCTTGAGCAGATCTTTCGACAGAATTGAGCCCTAGAAGCAAATAAAGAATATAAGTACTTTTTTGTAATCAAATTAAACCCACTAAACTTATAAAGAATCTTACTACCTTCAAAATCAAGCGCTACATAGACCTTATTTTCCACGTAAGCTTTTTGTAAAAGTTTTCATTTTAGAAGTCATTACTCTGACCCAAGATATCGAGAATAAACCTTACCTAAAGACATCCATACACCCTCCGTACAACGCTGGGGAAAAGACATGCTTTTGAGTTTGATATATTTACAATGACTCTGAATTCTCCAATCGCTTTCTTACCATGGCAGATCCATCAAAGCTTGTACCAATGAAATGGTTGAGAAGGTATGATTTCCCACAGGATTGTTCACCCATGCTAGATACTACTTTCACAGTCTTATTACCAAGATATTTGAAGATTGCCTCATACCAATCGAATGAGATTGACTGACTAACTTCTTCCGCATTTCTTCCATATTCAATTTGGATGGCTTGTTGAGATTGTAAGCCATTACGAAGAATGATAAACTGATCATCTCTAGCCACCGCCAGTTGTATTGGTATAAGCGTACATAATTGGATAATCCATCTATTTGAAATGGTGAAATTAATAGGATATAGAAAATAACGTAGAAGGAATATGAGCAAACTTACTCGTCCGCCCGATAGCGTGACGCTCCCTGCTCTAAAATATTTGCTGCAAAGATATCATCAAATCTTGCCACGCGTATACTAAATTCTCTCAACGGGTCCGTATCTTTCTTCGTCACGTCATGAAGTTTCTGGAACTGAGATTTCATATAGTCGTTGAATCTGTTCCTCAGTGTCTCCAAATCGGCTTCTGTGTTGTCCGGACTGTCTATCACAATAGTGAGTTCCATAGGTACAAAGCCATTATTTATGCAAGGTAGTATAGGATACTTCGTAAATAGGTGTGAGTAGACATCCAGGTATCCATTGGTTGTAGTTTTCCCTTCTACTGTATAGCTGTAGGACGTTCTACTGCCTATTAATGATTGGAAACCACCATCGCCAACCTTCAACGCAGTATCGGAATAGATATTCAGGACTGGTTTCTTTTCATTTTGTATGACAATATACTGCCCAACCTGAACATGCTGAGTGAATCTTGTGCGTTCGCCACGCACGATAGTTGGACCGTCAATCGTAACCATCCCGTCTCTCCTAATTCGGAATCTATTCCTTTCACCATTTATACAGACTCTTGCTGAAGTCAATCGGCTGTGTTCAAGATCAAGTGAAACCAAATGGTGTTGGGTATTCTCAAAAGATGTAAATTGACAATATGGCAACATGTGTGAAGGGAAAGAAGTAGTCTGTATCAAAGAATTGCTTTGCTCGCTTCTATCCAGATAAAATACGTGAGCATGGACCAAATTTTCTTCTGTGTTCGCATCCATTGGCACCGAACCTTCTTGTAAATAGACATAATCTGCGTCTTGCCGATGGCTGTTTACTCCACCAGTTTTCACGAAAAGTGCAAATATACAAGCTCCATCAGGCGAACTGAGAATACGCTGAGCATTCACCGGAATCCTTGCAAAAGGTCTTAGATAATTAGTTCCCGCTTCATAAGTATGCGAGTTCCCATTTTCCTCAACGAAGAAAAGCGTTCGTGTATTATTTATCCACGAAAAATGTTTGACTGAAGAGAACGATGCAAATGGCTCAACAACATCACGGTAATAAAGATCAACCGTTTTGGCTCTCTTGTCAAAACTATATGTATTAAGCTACCATAACAATTATATAATAATAAGTAAATCGTGTACGAACAAGAATACAACTCCGAAAAAGATACTTACTCTGCATTTTGCATTAGAATAAGTTGCCATAAGACCTTGTGAATCATTGATAGCAATTAATGTATCCTCAGACAAGTACAAAAGCTTCGTAGGTTGAGGAGAACTGGAGGCAAACTTTTGCTCTAAATCTACCAGTAGATCATAAAAGATAGCAAATGCCTCGTTCTCTGCACTTTGACTTTTATCCTTTAGGATTAGTACAAACTTTCCATCGTCAAACCGTGAGATATTCCTAAATAAAAAATTAACGTCTGAGAATAAAACTAAAACGCGATGAGTTTGTTCTGTAATGATACTTGCCTGATATCATAAACTTCGTCATTGATGCAGAGGGATCTTTCGGCAATAGCCCTCGGAGTCGGTAAAAAGTCCGGACTTTGTTTAACTCTCGCACGTTCAAATGCATCCAGCTCGAATTCGCGGATAGTGAGTTTGTTACAAGATGGTTGATCAACTTTATTGTTATAATGTAAAGTATATATTGAAGAATTGCGAAAATTATCCTTGTCCAGCCTCGTTATAACGATTTCCTGGCTAAAATAGCAGCAAATTAATAAAGTTATACGTATGTATGTGTATATTAATATATGTATTACAAAATTAAATCCATACCCCGTTGACCTAAGCTTAGAATTTAAATCATCTGCCATTTGTTCAACATCCTCTTCTTTATACTTATGTATTTTATAATATTCAATATTCGTATGTTGGTTCAGAAACCTTGACCAATCTTTGTCTCGCTTCCATTTTTGGTAGCTGCCAATGCTCTCTACTTCCGTAACAACTTGCTGGCATAAGTTTTTGTGGTGCTTATAACATTGCTGATAGTCTATAATGCGTTTGGAGATAATTAACAAAAATAAAAGTGAAAGATAATGATTTTATACAAAAAAAACTTACTGGGATCATCCTCAATATAACATAAGTCGTTGCTTGATTCTTTGCCCTCAAAAGTACTAATAGGCAGGTAGTTACTACCAATTTATTTACTTAAATCAAAGATCACAAAATTTTCTGTACCTGTAATGTTGCTCAAGTTTCCACTTGGCCCATTCGATCATTTTCTTTTTATATTTTTCAAACTCTCTCTCCCGTTTCCTCGCCATCGCGTCTTTCAGATTCTTGTGTGGCCTCAAGAGATTGCGATTTTGCAAACCATCTTCAACTAAAGTCCACAATTCCGTGAAACCCAGATTTGAAACATTCAAAGAATAATTTTGCGAGCGTACGGTCTGTAGAAATTGTTGAAATTGCCGAAGGTCACCTTTTTCGATCCTTTCTTCAGTCGCAACTCCAGCAGGAACATATGATTTAATGACTAAAGATTGTGACGAGACTGATTCTACAATATAGGCTGTTGACAAATCGCTATCGGGTTTGGGAAGCTCGGGCAGTTTTATCTAAAAAGTTGTACATTAGTGTTAGCAAGAGACCCTAATATGATATAGTTATGCAAATTCTTACCCCAAATCCTTCACTGATCTCAACGCTTCTTTGTTGTTCCTGGTTCATTGTCACTCTCAAATCCCAGTGCCTAAAATTGCGTGCTGTTCCACTGAGAGCAGTTTGAGGAAGTTGCCATAAAAAGTTTTCCAAGTCGTTGCCACTCATTAGGCAGAATTGATGATTCGTCAGTTTCGTCAAGAATCTGTACAGTTATAATACGCAATTCTATGAATAAGCTTAATTTGAAAAACTTTAGTAACATAGATCAAGTACGTGCCTGTGAAGATTTGTCATATTTTTCTGTTTGTTTACGGAATCCTTCTCCTCATAACAACCTTTCTCCGGCCATAGAATCACAAAGCCCAAGTGCGGCTTGATCAAAAGTAGATAGAGGCCAGTTGTTAATAAAGTACTCGTACGAACTGAATCGGGATCTCGTTCAGACTGGACAAGTTCATCATATCTATGTTGCAGAATGGGCATGAAGAAAACGTAATGTACACATAAAATACTGATGCTTATCGATGTATGCTACTAACTTGTCCTGATTGATACAGTTGCTCTGTAACAATAGCTTTAAAATGAGTTCACGGTTCCCATAGCAGCCAACAAGATCGAGAGGTTCCGTCCCTAATTTCTCGAAGCGTATATCTTTGACAGATTGATAACTTTCGGGGGCCAATGCATTGCACAATTTTCCCAAATCTATCGGGTGGATAATAGCTTTATCCACTATATGATGAGAGAAAAGCAGTAAAAATTAAGGTAATCCGATTCACAGGTTGTCGGGATGATTACATGCTCTACGAAAGGTATATTACCTGTTCCAGCTGTGCTTGTATCCGAACGCAGTTCGATCAGTCGATACAAATTTGGACGAAATTCACCACCGCTGTTGGACGTGTCATCAAACGACCCATTTAAGGAGCGATCGTCATGCAAATATGTCGAAGGTCCTAAAATTAAAAACATTAGAACAGGTTTCGTTCAACCACTACCTTTTAACATCGTCAAGTGTATTTACCAGCGGCGACTTCTGTAGAGGCCGGCGGTATTGTCGAACCATTTGTATTCTCTGAACCATTTGCGTTGCTCACTTATTGATTTATAGTAAAAATAAATTATTTTAATAAGTTAAAATACCGTCAAAAGCATTCTTTTGAGCTCACCTTTAGCCTGGAAAATTTCTTCACGAAACCCCATGATTATCGCAAACGAGAGTTGTTTCAAAAAGTCTACCAGCGGGGGTTTTTATCTCTACTTGAGCATCCTGATGTCATATGGTGTTTACGCGAGTCAATGACGCCTTATCAATCTTATCACAAAGGCAGATAAATATAGTTCTTTGGAATAAATAACATTGTCACTCTAAATTAGGCTTAAAGAATAGAAAATGGCAATTTATTCAACGCAAAAGATTTCGCGTACAAGATTGATGTTTTGGGAGAGCATGCGACCGCGGGTACGACCACTCAAATTTGATCTTTTTCAAAGTAAACCCATTTTGCAGAATGTAGATTTGCGTACTTATAGCGTTAAATATAATTTATTCTGCTAAAAATGCCAATACCCCAACACTTTAAAAAAATTCGCTAGATTTTTCTGAAATTTGACCAAGCTCCCCACATACTTCAGAATTAATCCAACTTTGCTCGGATTTTGATTCCGGGACTTTGTACTCATCCATGACTAAATTTCTTTGTAATATGAATAGGTTATACTCGTCAGACATAAATTTTGGTTGATTGGCACTCGTGGTTAGACACTCAAATGTGTACTACCGACATAAAGAATAATTATAGCGAGTGTTATTGTCATTTACTATCATTTTATCGTGTTATAGCTTTGCCTAGTAATTGGCCAAAGATAATTACCACGCTCGCAATAAAGCCAAAAATGTAGATTGCGAGGATAATCGGTTGAAACCAAAGTAATCAATTGGTGAGTCCAAACAGGCAGGAGAAATAGTTAAGGAAAACCCAACTCAGACTCTTTTTCGCAATCGACAATGAAAATCTAAGTTTGTTTATTGAGCCTTGCTCGCTAGTTCCATCAGCGGATGTGAGAATTTACATCATCAAGAGCATTATGAAATAAAAAACATCGTCGCTATTGTAACTAATTAGCATGCTTATACAAACTACCAACATGTCGATGACTACTACTTATATTGACAACAGTATTGGCAGAAGTTACTATCTTCACTCTCAATTACATGTATCGGTTTCAGGGTTATAATCTAACTAAATTTTCGTTATCTTTGAAAAAGATACCAAGAGATTACGACTAAAGCAGTGAATTAGCCCAAGTACAGTTAATGGTACAGCACATAGAAGTTAAACAATTGGTCTTTATGGCTTCATCGTTATTATTTTATTGATTGCGTGGCAGTAATTTTCATATTATCCGCAGAATACCGACTACCTAGACGATAGAAGTCACTCTGTAAGGTAAAGTACCATACAAAAGAATAGCGGTTAGAAAATTTTAGCTCATCCAAGTTCATAAATTAATTGTTAAATTACAGTATAGTATCATTTCATGCCAAAAATTTTTTATCTAGTAAATTATTGTTCGCAGCGACTGTGGATTATAGTGCCCAACCAGCTGATGAGAACAATTTATTCTCCGTTATTAGATAAATCATAAAGTTAAATGGGTACTATGACGAATGGCGAACGATTAATATTGCCAAATGTTTATATTAAATATCCCCTTCTTTTTAAATAAATACATAACTCACTCTCAAAAATAAACAGCTGAATCGTAACCACAATTTCTGAGACCATGCCGCGACTTTTCCGTTCCAATAAGGTCTTAAGTTTGTAGGTTGGGATGCTGACGAGTTTTTCGTAGGTTAGGGGGCTGAGGACCTCCTTTTTGCTTGAACCCTTTTTTTGGTGGCGGTTATGTGTTTTACGATTTTGATTTTCAAATAAGCAAAATATTGCAATAGTGCAATGGTTAAAGAATTTGGGGGATGATGTCTTAAATATGTTTATGGTTGTCGGCATTTGAATGGCGGAACCGAAAACGCGCATGAAACATGCAAGTATAGAAGGGTGATGTTATTAACGTTTGTCATGCATATTTATTCCTATTACCAATTAGAATCACACATGTTGTGACCGACTCTGCCGCGACCTCATCCAAACAAGGAAAAAAGCGCAAGATCAGGACAACAGCAGCACGCAACAAATGACAACACTTGAAAGCTCTCCATCGTACGCTGCCAATCAAAGTATATCCAAATCACCTCCAAAAGCAGCTATTGAAACGGTGGATGGGCTTAAACTCACATTAATTCTGTTCTTTATGGAAACCAGTGGATATGTCAATTACTATAACATTCCAATAATAATAGTAATATTATTATTATAGCTAATATTAATACTGAACAAAGCGATACATTAATATTTAAACTTCTATTTTGGATGATTGTTATTGAAAAGAGATTGTGAATAAGATGGTCACGGTCTGATAATAGCCACTAATACTAATACTAATTGATCCAACTAGCAAAACAATGGTCGGGTCATATAATTTGCCTCAGTTAATTATTTTAGGCAGTATTTTGTCGAATCTGTTCTATTATGTAATAAATGCTCAGCAAACACTCACAAGTTTGAAATACTGGGCCTTGAAGATTTACTTTGTCAGCAAACTAACTTCATTTCGTAATAAGAACGTCTTTGGCGTCGTTTTGTGAATATCTGCATTAACACCCGGTTCAGACCGATTGTTGATAAACATTCTCATATCATCATTCGTGTACAAATAACCCAACAACGTATTGACCGACACCAAATGCTTACGTTTTTTACAAGCGATTCATCGCGTCTTTGTTCCTCACTCTATGATTTTCGTTCCTGACACGACCAAAGCCAGTTTGGCTGACGAGGAGAATAGAATAATACGTTCTTTACAATAATAAAGGATTTCTTTCTAATGCGATTGTGAGAACCTGTTTATTCAAAGTGCTCTGGCTAAATAAATTTCCAACCCTTTGGCTTATTTGTTGAGGCTTATCGGCTTAAAATTTGATCTAGGTAACGGACATTTCGGTCAGACGTTAGTATAGTCAAAAGAACCTCGTTGTGAGAAGTTTAATAGTAAAATTGCTACACGCGATTAAAATTAGAATTGTCGATTTGGTCATGATATAGAAATAAATTACAGTCAGGGATTTTGCCAAAATGGGCTAGAATTATCTTGAATATGATTGGCTCTTATTTATACTCTTCGGCGTTGAAATTTATTATTATAGGCTAAACTACATCATGGATTTTTATGTGTGCAAACACCACTTTCGTTACAATAACCAATCGAAAGTTCACATTATGTTTACTGCTAGTAAATTAAGGAATGTTCTGGTATGGCGGATTCATATACCCAAAGCAAGATAAAATAGTCACAACCAACCATATCGACGGGGATATCTGTTGATTTAGTTGAGAAAGCCGCCATCATAGGGTAACCAATTTTTTATGCGTAAAATCCCAAGTATGGCAACTAGACGTCTTATCATGATTTTATACCTGAACTCGAAATCTCGCTCTGTTTGTGAAACCATTATAGCCAGTGTAGCAAATAATTTTGCCTTGATATTAAGACTTTTTAAATTAATAAGAAACTCGCTTTCAATTGTTTCCATTATAATAATAGGTTCACGACGTTGGCGTATTGACTTTCGCCAAACCAATTATGTGTTTTCAGGAATGTGTTTTCACGGCTCCGTCATAAATTTATCGAGATTTTTTGTCATAGATTTTCTACATTGTCTTGGAGCATTACCCCGTAAGAACTCCTTCGTATGTTTTGGATCACATCCAGTTTTTTTTGTTATACAATGTATTGTGGGCTTTCGACAACGAACAAAGAGGACAGAAAAATTATCTCGATCGCGGATACAACACAGTAGTTTTTTCACACTGTTACTAGTTTCGTTGTTTTTAATATGAGTTCGACACTCCAGTTCTCTTAACAAGTCACAATACAAATCTCTTTTTCGATATTACGTCGGAAGAGTTTATCTGTAATTTATATTTATTGAACGAAGAAGACTAGAAAATTGATTTCCTTATAGATCGGATGATCGTTGCAACAAACAGTGCCAGGAAAAGCAATGTTTTTAGAACGTGTCTACCTACATTGGCAGAGTTCCCGAAAATGTCATGTTTCAATTTAGAGAAAAGCAAATCGGGACCAATTGACTATTTATAAATGCGTCGACGAGGGACTGTCGAGTCAACAATCGCGGGAATCGATCGCTGATCTTTGAGATTTAGCTATCCTAGACGGTTATTCGTCCTCGAGTTAAAATGCATCTCCACTTAAGCGAATAACCATCGCAATGACACACGCACAACTATATCGAGAGAACGAATAAAGTATAAAGAGCTACTCGTTTATTATTAGAAAGAAATATTATGTGAATATTTATGTGACTATCAAGGAGCATGATGAATCGCAGAAATTTGGGAGGAATATACGTCATCATTAACTTTAGTCCTCACAAAACTTCTCGACCTTAATCCTAATTCAACCATGAATATTGAAAAAGTCCTGTATCATATCGAGAAAATATCAGGAGTCAAAGATGGAGTACGCAAACGTAACGTGTTATTGCATGCCATATTAATATCATTGTGCAAGCAAAATAAAAGAGGAAATATCCGTGATTGATTCTCATTGCACGAAGAAATGAATATGCTTCGGGCATTTGGTAAGATGTCAAATTCACTATTATAGTTGCATTTTTTAAAAGGGATATCAATCTCAATCAATTTGCAATATGCTAGGGATATAAAACGGATAATCATCTCGCTTATGCCATGTGTAAAGAGTTATTCTAGTCCATCAGTAGAAGGATATTTGCTTGGGTAAAGGAATAAGCCGATTTGCTTCACCAAATAAAACTTGAACAGATAATGTCAATTATTTTGTAAGGGAATGTGCTTATATATCATTAATCAGTTATTTATTCAGATATCTGCAAGTTGTAATTAACTACGAACAGCTGCACGAAGGGTTTTTTCACCAGTATGGTCAGGGTGACGTCATCAAATATACCGTTTGATAGAAAGCAACAATAGTCTTCTCGATCAGGACTTTTTAGCCAACATCAAGGGTTAGACGCTGTTTTGGAAGAACAAATAATATTTGATACCACCCGTTCCACAAACGCGCCACTGGAAAATTGC